AGGTGGAATAAATAGTTAAATATAAAAGAAACTATAATATAAATGGAAGAAAATATAACAATTTCCTATATGACAATTCATATAGGAAAAGATTTATAGCTTTACTTAAAAAATGTAAACTTCAGTGTGATAAACACACACACACACAAAATAGAAAAGCAAATCACTTACCATGAAAAACATATAACAATTATATCAAAAAAAGTTAATATCCTTATATTTTAAATAAATCTTGAAAATCACTAAGAAAAAGATAAATATCACAAATAGAATATGGGCAAAGAGCACAAATAGATAATAGACAAAAGCAAAACCACAAATGCCAATGAACATACAAAATATTCAACCTTACTAGTAATAAAATAAATAACAGATTAAAAAAATTACTTTGCATTTTACAGCATCAAAGATATTTAAAGTGGTATTATCTGTGGTCTTCTGGAATGGGTGTGCCATACATTACGGAGATTTAAATTGGGATAGCCTTTGTGGAATTCTTTTTGCCAATGTATATCATAACCTTCCAAAGATGCATAGTTCTACTTCTTTATCAGAAGATGATCAGAGAGGTGCACAAAGATTTTATTCAAGTATGATCATAACATTATTTGTAACCAAAAAGTACAAACAAATAAAAACGAAATATAGATGTCCAATAAGATTAATAGGTTTTTTTTTTTTTTAAATCATGGTCAATTTTTATTGGCTGCCTACTATGTGTTAGAAATCCCTGGGTGGTGAAAACAGTTGAAGTGTTCAGCTACTAACCGAATAGATGGAGAGTCAAGTCTACCCAGAGGTGCTTTGGAAGAAAGGCTTGGTGATCTACTTCTGAAAAATCAGCCGTTGAAAACCCTACGGAGCCCAGTTCTACTCTGACACACATGAGGTCACCATCAGTCAGAATTGACTCAATGGCAACTGGTTTGATTTTTGCTTTTTACTATGTGTTAAGTACTTGAATCATATGTAGAGTCATGAATCATGCTACCTTTAAAAATCATGTTTTTGAAGAGTAATAACATGGAAAAATGTGCACAATAAAATGTTATATGAATAAAAAGAAAGACCCCCCTCAAAAAAAACCTGCGTGTGTGTGTGTGTGTGTGTGTGTGTGTGTGTGTGTATAGCAAGATCTAAAAGACTGAAAGGAAATACATCAAAATGGTAACTGTGGAATCACTGAATAATGAAAATATAGGGGATCTTAATTCTTTTTTTCTTTTGCATTTTTCATTTTTAGAAATAGTGTATTACTATTTTAATTGGAAAAAGATGTAATTTATTTCAACAATGTATTTCTCTAAGTAAAAATGTTAATTTACTCAAAGAAAAATGCAATACAAGTGTAAAATGCTAAATGCAATGTAAAAAAGTAAATATTTTCATTTACTTAAGTTAAATAATAGTGACTGTAATAACTTATGCTGATCTTTAATTTTTTTGATTAATCAAGTATATGTCGAGTGCCCCCTCCTCTGTGGCCGGGTACTGTTTCAGAGCCTGAGGTACTGCTCTGCTGAAGGAAACCAGCAAAAATCCCTGGTGCTTCAGTGAAGGTGGGGAGCAGGGAAAGGAAAAGTTTATGTTCATGCTGTTTCTCTGTGAAGAAGTGCTAGTGCACGCAGTGTGTGTGTGGGGGGTGGGGCAGGGGATGCTGTTTCTGGGAAGTCCCCTGAGCATGCAATAGGAAACCTGACCCTAAATATTAACTCTGAAATGAGCATGCTCAACTAATTAACCAAGCAGGAGACAGTGACCCGGAACACTGGCACTTTTGCTTATCTGTCATAAAACGTCACCATTATCTGAATGGAAATCCTGGTGGCATAGTGGTTAAGAGTTTGGCTGCTAACTAAATGTTGGCAGTTCGAATCCACCAGGCACTCCTTGGAAACCCTATGGGGGCAGTTCTATTCTGTCCTATAGGGTCAGAATCGACTCTATGGCAAGGGGTTTGGTTTTTTGGTTTATTATCTGATTTGGGGGACCAGTCCACCAATGAAAGGTCTACTCTCAGGATCCCCGGCAATGCACATGGCTGAAGGGGTAGAGTTGAGGGAGGTGGATGGCTGATCTTATTTTTATAAATCAGTAACTAAACTTAATTTTTAATAACTGAGTTTACAGTTATCTGATGCCTGAGGTCATTTACAGAGGTTGCAGGACTTATTTATTTTTGATGTTTGGTTCACAAACATTAATTAGTTTCATTTAATGGGAGGCTACTGAGAAAAGGGACGGTAGGAGGGTGGCCCTTAATCACGTTTGTTTATTACGTTGAAAAAAATTATAGTGACTTCAGAATAAAAATGAAATAATTCTTTCAAAGTATAAAACGGCAAGTGCTAGGAATTCCACCAAGTACCTACATGTGAAACTTTGGAAAGTTCTTATAACAAGCTGTCAGGCAGAATAGTAGAGAAACAGGAAGTTTCTTGTGATTAACAGCAGGGCGCTCATGTGAATATGCTCTGCTTCGCATTAACGACCAAGAAACCCCCGCTCCGGCCAGTGCCTTAGCACAGGACCCCACAGCACAGAAGGCATTTCACAGAAAACCACGCACCGTGTGTGATGCAGTTATTGCGGAAGGTATGGGGAAGATTTCCTGTTACTTACTTTCACTGATGATTTCCAGGGAAGGTATGAAGTAGACCTCACAGACAGTAGACACAGCCATGAACATGTAAAGGATAATTAGGAAGTAGATGATGATGCCTCCCTCTGCTCGTTCCTGTTTCGTGAAAAAACCTTGAGGAAACTCCGAGGATGGAGAAACAATGCATTGGGTAGTATTTCCTGGGAAGGAAAAGGAGGTGAAGTTTGAAGGATGCTGGTGTCTCACATTCCAAGCCCACAAAGAAAGATTCCCGAGAAGAAGGGTGGGGTGGAAGTTTAAGAAGAGGATATTTACAGAGCACTTGCAAATAGGATGTAGTTGTAGAGTCTTAAAAAATGTCTTTGGAACAGGAAAGAGGCACTTTAATGAAACAAACTGATGATTAGAATGAGGAAATCATGAAATCACTCCTCCGTGCAGGCGTTGGAGTCCCTGGATGGTGCAACGGTTCGGTGCTCAATTACTAACCGAAAGGTTGGTGGTTCGAACACACCAGAGGTGTCTTGGAAGAAAGGCCTTATGATCTGCTTCCAAAAGTTCCCAGCTTTGAAAACACCTTGGGGTACAGTTCTACTCTGCAACACATGGGGTCGCTGTGAGTCGGAATCGGCTCGGTGGCAGCGGGTTCTTTTTTTTTTTTTTTTGCCTGCTTTACTTCTAAAAAGTTATTCTAAGCCCCTTCGTTTCCCCAAGTAGAAACTGTATCTCTGATGAATAAAGCTTTCTAATACCTGTACAATTTCATTTTCCCATTTCAGAGCCCAAGATGTCCACAAGCCTGCAAAGAAGCAGCCCCCGGCTCCAGAGGGAATTCCTAGGAAAGAGAAGATTTTTTTCCCTGATGAAATCCCCAGCAATAAAAACAGGACACTCGCCGGCTTTGTGATCTCTGTGAATTACTTTGGAGCTATCTTTGAGAACCTAGTTGAGGGATGAAAAGGGTTTGATACCCTTCCAAAAGCTTGAAGCCAGAGCAGAGCAGATGCAGCAGAAAGCGTTAGCAGAGTCAAGGGAGAATTTCCCTCTTTGTTCTTCAGCCGTATGTGGCAGCACCCAGTGTCCACCTACCTGTGGCCCGCGGGGGTCGCCGGGGCAGGGAGGCACCTGGGGCAGGCAGGTGTGCGGTGGCCCAGAGGGTCGCGAGCAGCAGGGCCCTTCTTGCCCACCTCGGGCCCCCATTTGTCCGCATTTTGGCTGTGCTCTTGCTGCAGCACATGCTTCGGGAAGGGAGAAGGAGGATTAAGCTGGATCATGTGAGGAGGCTCCTTCCTGCCCAGTTCCCTGCCCAGGGCACATCTCAGCAAGGCCAGCACCGGAGGGAGGGTGATCAGAGCCAGCCCAGCTTTTCTGATCAGGAGACCCAAGCACCAGGGAGGCTGTTCCCATGGTCCACAGTCTCTGAGGGCAGGTCCACGCAGCTTGTGCTTTAGTAAAATGAGTGCTGTTATTTAATGTCTTCATACTGGCTCTGCTTTCAACTTTCTTTAGATCTGTAAGAACCTGGATTTGCAGCTGCTTGCATCTCTCTCTCTCCAGCCCTTGCTCCTAGAAGTTGCTGGGGCTGGTGTGATATGACTGGTTAAGCACTCAGCTACTAACCAAAAAGATGACAGTTCAAATCCATCCAGAGGCGCCTCAGCAGAAAGGCCTGGTGATCTGTTTCTAAAAGGTCACAGTCTTGAAAACCCTATGGAGCGCAGTTCTACTCTGCAACACATGGGGTCGCCACGAGACAGAATCCACTTAACGGCAACTTGTTTAGCTTCTGTGTATATGTGTGTGTGTGTGTACATTTTTTGGCTAGCTTGGCACCTTTCTGTATTTCTCTTTTGGCCTCTCACCTCCATCGCCAGTTAGGGGAGGGGTAGGAAGATCACTCTGGAGGCAATTATCTAGAGGAGAGGTGATGGTGGCTTGAACAAGGCAGTGGCAATCGGCATGGAGAAGCCAACAGCTTCAAGAAGTACTGAGGAGGTAGAGTGGATGCTATTTGGTGGTTGATTGGCTGTGTGCTCCGCCAGAGTGAGCTATCTAAAATACAATTTGTTAAGCCAAGGAACGTTCAAATACAGACCACTGTCTTCCCCACTCCAGCATTTACTGGACTTGCCCAGATGTTAAGAACTTGTGGCAGGAGAGCATAGTGGTTAATAGCACAGGCTCTGGAGCCAGACCACCTGGTTTGAGTCCTAGAAGTGCTACTTAGTAGCTATGTGACCTTGGGCAAGTTATTTAATCTCCCTGTGTCTCCATTCCACTCTCTGTAAAATGAGGATATTAGGGTACCACCTCTATATAGGGTTGGAATGAGAATTACGTAAATGACTACATGTAATTTGTTTAGAACAGCATCTGCCACATGGTCAATGTTAGATATCTTCTATCATTGTTATTCTTGTCTAGACCAACTACATGTGTCTAAACAAGTCCATCTTGATTGAGACAGAAACTTCTTGGTCACAAAACAGTTGTATAGTTCTCCTGCAACTCTTATGTTTCTTTGAGGAAAGAGCATGAAAATTGATGTGCTTGCTATATTTTAGATTTAGAAATTGGTTTTTTTCTGGTGGGAAGGAGTAAGTTACTTCCGGATGTTTGTGATCTTGGGTTGGTAAAAATTCTCAAACATTCTTGTTTTGCTGGGAATTGCTACCCATTATAAACGTCTCTAAAGTTGTCATTTCTAGGAACTGGATATCCAGATGTGTGGTGTGGTTGTGAGGTTGGAATGATGAGTCAGCACAGTGCAGCCAGTAACAGAGCAGCTTCCCAACAGGCAGACTTCCAGCTGCCGGCACCCACAGGAGGCGGCACCCTGAACCTCTGGACCGTGGTTTCGGTGCCAACAGTGGCTAAGACTGGGGCAAGAGACCACGTAGTTTTGTGCTGAATGGAAGTGTCCCATGAGGCTCTCCTCTTCAAAATGTAGTAGTTCAATCAGCCAAAAATCATGAGCAAACAAAATACCGACAATAGCATAAAAACACAAATCCACAGTGAATAATTCCAATGCATGTTATTAACTAATTCAAGAAACTAAGCAAGTATCTGAAGATAGGAGCCAATTCCGATGGATCAGTAGAGTACTCCATAAACGTTTGTTGATTTAATGGTTCTTGAAAACACATTCCCAAAACACACAGGTACTCGGTCTAAACAAACTATTGAATAAACTTTAGATTTACTGGGAAAAGAGAATTTAGAAGGCTAACTAGATTTGCTTTACACATTTATTCTTCATCTTACAAAAGGATTTAAATAAATTTTTTTTTGTTGTAAAATAAAACACATACAGAAAGCCACACAAAATAAATGTATAACTTATTTGTTATTATATTGTATCATTGTTGAGATTGTTTTTAGAGGATGAGTACCTTGTAACCATCCTCAGGTCAAGAATCAGAATGTTGTCAGCCGATCTATAAGCCCCTTTATGTGCCTCAGTGTCAACGCTTCCCTTCCCCCTGAAAGCAGCCGATTTTCTGACTTCTGTAGTAATCACTTGTGTGTTTAATACTTTATGCACCATTCCTAACTGAGTGCATCCCTAGACACTACAGTTTAGTCTTACCTTAAAAATAATATCTTTTAAAGTCTCTTTTAATCCATAGGTTCCACCCCCCTTCCTTTTCTTTTCCTTATAATTTATCTGTTTGAAAACCCCACGGCGTTCGAATCTGTAGAGTTTTCCCCAGTCCTAATTTTGTTGATTACGTCCTTGCAGTGTAGTTTAGCACGCTCCTCATTTTCTACACTTTTGCAAATCAGTAGCTGGATGCAGAGGCTTGATCACATTCAGGTTCTACCCCTTTGGCAAGACTATAGGTGGTGGTGTGAGCCTTCATCAGGAAGCACACAGTGGTGGCTTGTCTCTCTCTTTGTGATGTTAGCAGCTACTTATGCTCGTTGCCTAAATCCATTACAAATTCATTGGGGGTTGCAAAAGGGTGACATTTTAATTCTCTCATTTCTTTTTCATTTATCAGTTGAAATGATTATAATTAGTTCATAAAGAAATTATTTCTCATCTATTCTTTGATTTCCTAGTAGTGCAATTTATATAGAAAAGACAAGACACATGCTTGAATCTTTCCTTTTATTTACAAACTCTCAAGACAACAGATTGGTTCCCTATCATCCTCCAAACACGACCAATTATAGTTTTTTAAAAATTATGAACAACAAAAGGATTTAAATATATTTTGTGGGTTCCAATCAATTGCAGTTATTATCCTTTTTGAAGCTTAAATTTTCTCATGTATTGCTGGTGAAATCCTCTTCAAGTTGGCTTCTAACACTCTTTGACGTGATCTTAATAATCTTTTGATAGCTTCCTCACTCCCTGGTATAAAAAGATGTCCCAAGCTCATCTTATACATGAAATCAGCCATTTCTTCAGAAGTTCTTGCTCTTCCTGTTCACTGACCAATACCAGCTTAGCAGGTTTATCTCATATACCTGGGGCGGTGCTGAGTTAGTCCCTGTTATGCTTGGGAATTACAGCTAATAGTCTATGTGCATTGTTCAGTACAATTCTCCCACCAACCCTAAAGGATAGGGGATAGTTCTCACCTGGCTGCTGATAAAAGTAGCTGGTGGCTTTTCAAGTTACTGATGACTTGGCCCCTCCCTGGATCAACTGAATCAACATATGTGGGGGCGGTTCAGGAATGGATAGTTTAAAAAATTTCCCAGATGACTTAAAGAGTGTTGAGGACTACTGGAATGCATTTTGCTATTCCTGCTTTATAAGAGCTAGATTGAGTCAGTTGCCTAAAATCTAAGGTTATATAGCTCCTTAGTGGCAGAGCCAGGCTGCGGATAAAGTCTGTTTAATGCCACCATGCATATCCTTAACTGCGAAGTTGATTCCTTAGGCTAAGTTCCACAAGGACAAAAACCATGTCTGTCTAATTCCCTGCTGCACTTCCAGTATTCAACACAGTGCCAGGCACGCGGTGGGTGTCTAATAAATGTTGAATGAATATAATAATGAATGAATGATATAAGTAAGGAATTCCACAATGAATTTTCTTTGGCAGTGTTCATAGGACCCCATAAAAATACACACGGTCTTTTGTCATCCAAAATGTCATCTGCCTGCTTCTCCAAGGGCTTGTCCAAGGTGTCCTCTAACCCAGAGGCTCATTTAGCTTCCAGGTCCACCCGCTGATGTCTCAAACACAGCTTTGGCTCCCCCAACTTCCTGTTGGAGAGAATATAGGAAATTCTACTGTTAGGAGCCCTGTGAAATCTACCACTTGCAAAGATATTTTGATCTTCCTCCATGGAATGAGAGCTAGTAATGTTGGCCATCCACTGCCCTTTGTCATCTGCACACTCAAGCTTGAAATCAAGGTTTTTGAGCTGCTCTGATTGCTCTGAAGGAATCAGTGCAACCTAGGGCTGTTCCCACTGCTATTATTTTTTAACTTTATATTGAAATATACATATGGAAAAGTGCATGTGTTTTGTCATTGTCTTTTGTGATTTAAACATGCAGAGTCGAGACATGTGGGTAAGCCTTGATAAGGTGAGTGTTTGATTGCCACCAAGGTAAAAACAACATGAGAGGCTAGGGTAGAGTAGTGTTGCATGTAAACGCATTGTGTTATGGAGGCTTCAGTGTCCCATTTGCTACTGCCCCACCAGTGGCCCTCCTTCAGGTTGCTGGAGTAAGAGAGCAGTCTGAGAATCACCATAACAAGGAGCTTCCAGCTCAGTCTACTAAGCTTCTTCATTTTTGTCTAGCTATCAAATGGGCTGCTAGCTTGAACCACAGCCAGGGCTCAATAGCATTCAACTCATCCAACTTTCCTACACACTCATCCTTCCTGAGTTTATCAGCAAAAATCAGGGTCAAGCGCTGGCTTAGAGCATGAGTGATCATTCCCAATTTTCACCCTAGTTCAGATTGGCCTCCTTCCACTGTGTGGGTCCAACTTGGTGAAAATGATTTAAAACCTTTTCAGTTCTTGGAAGGCCTTCACAGTCTTCTCAAAGTTTGTGCATTTTCTTTTCTTTTTTCCTTTTACTGGAGGGCATATTCCATTTCTCTGAATGCTAAAGGGAAGTTCAAAGTATTTGGTAGTATTCAAATTTTCCAGGCCAAATATTAATTAAAATAAGTAACATTTTCAAAGTAGAAATAACTTTAGAACTAGCCAAACCTGGGTTAAATATATACCCTTCCACCAGTCTTTGAGAAACTCAGTG